TCCTTCTGTAATCTCCTATTTAAGGAGCTACGAATTGAAATAAAACATTCAGTTTCCAGCCAATAAAAGAGTGAGGAGAGTTCGGGTGGTCTCTTGGACAAATCACCCACTAGATAGGCAAAATAGGGTCTGTGCGCAAGGCCAAGGGCAAGGGAAGATCAGGGGTTCCTGCCGTGGAATGACCCGTGATGCGATCCTACGCTCGGGCCCATAACATCAAATTCGCCATCATCAATTATAAATATTCTTTTCCTTATTTATCTTTAATAGGTAGTGAAGATATGTATGATTTTAAACTTTTAAAAAATGTCATAATTATCTTTTCAATAGGTTTTAGATCATTTTATCATTTTTTAAAAGTTAGAGTTTTTCCCTATCTTCGTTTAAGTTCTTCAATCATAACGATGGAACTGGAAGATGAGATCCAATGATGTCAAGCTCGTTGCATTAGGATCAATCCCTCGCCAAATTATTATCATATGTTTCCTAAAGTGATTTATGTATGTATATATGATATGATAAAGGTAATATATATATATAACATTTATCCGAGAAAAAAAGCATTTTTTTCTATATATCCCTTGTGTCCAATCAAAAGAAGGTCGGGAAATTGGTCAACTTCAACAGTTTACCTTTCATCTGGGACATAATATTACATGGACGGACGGCGACAAGGCGACAATAGTAATGGTATTGGTGCATATGAAAAATAAAAATATATTCCAAATTTAATATGGTGGGCCAGGATTAATGGTATTTATCCATTTTAATATAAAATCTCAATATTATTAAAATTCAAAATTGAAGTCCAATGCAATTGCGACGGCAACCTTCCCAACTACCAGCAAACAAAGGCATTTAATGAACAGCATAAGTAACGGGCAAACGTAACCCTTCATCCTCAATTTCCTCCCTTCCCTTCCTTTGCCCTGCTCTGCTAGCGCTAGCTGGTTCCAAAGAGTGTATTATTCCTCAACTTAGTTACTTAATTATAAAATTCATTTCCATAAGTTTGGATGTATCCACTATCCATCCAAAAAATCTTTTTTCTTGCCTCTTTGAACGTGGTTTAGCTGTACAACGGATCTCTTGTAAGCAAAAATTCTATGCATATACACCTACATTTATGTCAATTCATGAAGAAATGTTTCTATATGTAGAGTTTTTTTTTTTTTTTTTTTGTTTATGGAGAATTCCTTTAACAAAAAGTCAATAATAATAATAATAATACCTAACTTGAATGCAGTAATATGAAGTTGCCCTCAATGCATCGATGCCAAACACCCTCCAAATGAAACCTATCAATCTTTATCATGAGCTAGTTGTTGTAGTTAAAATCTGGCTAACAGATAAAGAGGATGAATCGAGATGAGTGGTTGAACCAAAATACTTCCAAAGACCCGTAAAAGGGCAAAGA